TTGTGAGTTGCACCCAGGATTTTGGCTTCCTTGTGGGGCCCAGGGTTCTGTGCCTGTCTGATGCAAGTCTGGTTGGCCCAGCCCTCTCCCATGCAGTGCTTCCAGGTGGGCACGTGTATGAGCAGCAGTGTGGTCCCTGGAGCGCTGGCCAGCTGCCCAACTTCAACGGTCTTGTGTAAAATTCTTCACTGTGTCTCTGTGGTGGAGCGGGGGACAGTTCTGCAGCCCCTGAAGCACGCCACACCCCAAGGTGGCGGGAATAGAACGGTAACTTCGGTGGGGAGAACCCTTTCCCTAACCACTCATTTTCCTAATTCTCATGGCCACTGCCCTGCTTCAGAGATACCAGAGCCAAGGGCAGCCAGGGCCACCATCTCTGGCGGTCTAGTTCACCTTGCCAAATGAAGAGGCTCAGAAACCGAAGGTTCCTCCTCCATGCGGATAGGGTCTGCCCCTGAGACTGCTGCGTCTGTTTGCCAGCTCCTTCCCTCTAGTAGCCTCTCACTGTGGCTTTCTGCTGCAGAGCAAGCACTGGGGATCCCAAGTCTTTCCCTCAGCGCTGAGTTGGGGGAGGGGAGCCAAGTCATTTACCCTTTTAAACCTCTGTTGCGTTCATTACCAGGGCGGCCCAGGATACTACCTTGCTGGGCTCTTACAGACTAGCAGAGATGATGGATAAATCAAATCTTGAGGGCTGTTGTGCAGTTTGAATTTGGCTGGGATCTTCAAAGGGCCTGCAAAACTAAGGTACTGCTGATTAAAATCATCTCACCAGACCTTAACAACTCTTCCCTCGTGGGTTCCTGGGGCTAACGTCCTTTCTGGTACTTAGTTCTCCTCAGCAATAGAACATAGCCCAGACCTTGAAGCCCCGAGATGGGTTATTCTGACAAGCTGACAGTTTTTCCCAGGAAAGCGTTTTGGTCTCTGCTTTCCTCCTTCCAAATCTGGGGCAAGGACCAGATCTGTGAACCAAATCCTGACAAGCCATGAAGCCAACCTTGGGCAAGTTGCTTCTCTTTTCTGGGCCCTCTTGCAGCCTGCCAACCCTTTCTTGCCTTTCAGACAAGCTCTGGGCAATGCGTGGAGTGCTGAGGGCCTGGTATCTTTTCGTGCCACATTGTGTGGCTCTGCAGTGCTGCTGGCCTGCAGGGTGGAGCAGGCCTTGTGGTGTACGGTCTGCTGTTGCCAGCTAGAAGCCGTGGCAGATCTGTGTCTCCCCTCCCACCCCAGGGAAGGCGTTGCAGTAAGAACTCAGGGAGTTCTCAAACACCACCTGGGGGAATCTGGACGCCTTTCTTCTGGGGAGCAATATTGAAGTCAGGCTAGGATTGATTTTGCTTTGTACTTGAAGCGCCTTACGCTGCTGCTGGTATGGCTGGGCCTTGCGTGGGTAGATGCTCAGAATCCCCCCCGCCCCAAGACAGTGGACCCCTCAGGAAGAAATTCATGGAGATGGAAGACCCGGGCTATTCCTCATTCCCATTCCTCATGCCCAGGTCGGGTCAGGGATATCCCTTGGCCTTCATTATCCCTCCATTTTTCACTGTCTCTGTACACTGCTCAGTTTATTTGTTGCAAAGGAGAGAGGTCTTAAGGCACAAAGAATAAGCAGTAATTTTGGTAGGATTGCAGAAATAATTGCCCTTCTCTGAACCCCACCCAGTGCTTTTACCTTTCTCCTAGCAATTAACGTTTTTGTCGTACCATCCTCTCGGCTGAGACCGTACCTCATTCTTCATCTCTGCCCCTCAGTGGGGCCTTGTACAGAGAGCCCTTAGGGCCTGGCCAACAACAGGTGCTCAGCAGATGTTAGGGTGGGAGAGGCACAGCTCATTCTGTTATTTAGGGATTGGTTAACCTCAGGGATTTAAACCCGACCCCTTTGAGTGCCCCTTGAGTCACATGTCCTTACGAATGATCCTCTTCCGTCTGTATTTTTTCTCCTTTTAAAGTGTCACCTTTTTTTGGCTTCATGATTAGGGGAGAGACCTCTGTTTTGTATCACATAAATTTCACATTTGTAATACTATTCATTTTTTTCTTTCTTTTCCAGAGTGAGTTTTTAATAAGAAAAATGAGTCTGGTCCTGTTAACCCCCCAATTTAAAATCCTTTAATGGCTTCCAGTTAGTCTTGAAGTGAAGATGAAATTCCTAACAGCCTATAAGGCTCTAATGAGCTGTGCGTGTAACGCACCTCCTTCAGATGCCTCCTGCTGTTTCTTCTGCCACAGAGCTCCCTTCCTGGCTCCTCGTGGGTGCCACGCTTGGCCTGATCAGGGGTCTTCACGCGTACTGCTTCCTCACTTGGACGAGCAACTGCCCCACTCCCCCAACCTCCCGAATCAGTCACTGTTGTTTCCCTAGCATCCTGTCCTCCACCCTCCACAGTACCGATCAGAGATGTAATTAAGATTTGCCTCTCTGCTAGGAACCACATAGGCTGCCTTCATCACCCAAATCCTGACCCACAGTAGGAATTCAGTCACTGATAGATGAATTCACAGGCACTTTTAGTGTGAGAGGCCTCATGGGACTCTGAAGTGGTCTACAATGAGAAACCTGGTCTTAGTGAATAAAAGGGATTTATGGCCATAACATGCAATTTCTCATGGTAATAACAGATTTAGAAATAAACACATTTGTTCCTACTCAACAATCTTCTTACATTGGCTGGAAACTAACCCCTTTCCCAGTATACCTATTTGGGGGGCAATGAAGGAATTTTTTAAAAAGTGGTATTATTTACTTCAGAGAGAATGAGCCGGGGGTAGCAGCAAAGAGAGGGAGACGCAGACTCCCTGTTGAGCGGGGAGCCCGATTTGGGGCTCGATCCCAGGACCCTGGAATCATGACCCGAGCCAAAGACCGATGCTTAGCTAATTGAGCCACCCAGGCACCCCATGAAAGGTGTTTTTCTTCCCCTCCTCAAGATTTTGTCAGAACACAAGCAGGAGGGGAGAGAGAGCGAGAAGCAGACTCCCTGCCGAGCAAGGAGCCCGATATGGGACAGGATCATGTCCTGAGCTGAAGGCAGGCACTTAACTGACTGAGCCACCCAGGCATCCCATGAAAGGTTTTTTGTTTTTTTTTTTTAAAGATTTTATTTATTTGTCAGAGAGAGCACAAGAAGGAAAGTGGCAGACACAGGTAGAGGAAGCAGCAGGAGCAGGCTCCCCCCTGAGCAAGGAGCTTGATGTGGGGACTCCATCCCAGCACCCTCGGATCATGACCTGAGCCAAAGGTAGCCGCTTGACCGAATGAGCCACTCAGGCGTCCCAAAAGGGTTGTTTTTTTTTTTTTAAGGGAAAAATACTTTGTAGGATTCTGCAAGCCCCCGCCCCCCGCAAGAAACTTATTAACCATCTAAACTGTGCTGTACAGTGTAGAAGCCACTGGCCACTTGTGGCTAATAACTAAAATAAAAAACTGAGTTTCTCAGCTTCACAGGCCACATTCAGTACTTAACAGGCACACGTAGCTAATGGCTATAAACTGAGGACAGCACAAATCTAGAACACTTCCAACACTGCCAAGTTTTATTGGACAGAGCTGATGCAGAACTATTTTGCAGGCTCCCATTTTTTTGTCTTGCCAGCAAGACAGAAATCAAGGAATGTTAAACTGTTACTTTAAAAGTTAGCGCTCATGCACACACACAAAAACCACAGGAGAGGTACCTGAGATTTTGAGGCGGCCAGTAAAACCTGTACATATTTCTCTTTGTTTTGCCTGGTGCCCTGTACATGAATTACAAGGAAATCCCAGGACCTCTGCCTTTTTTTTCCTTTATGTAAAACAGACAGCCCTGCCTCTTGGGGAATGTTGAAGCTAATGTGGGCCTTAAATACTTTTACCACTTGCTGCAATGGTGCATGGACAGATTAACTTCTTCACTGTTGTATCCTACCCCCAAAACACCAGGGAAAATTTTGCTTCACCTATGTCAGGATTTTTTTTTAAAGTAGGCTCCAAGCCCAGCATGGAGCCCAATACTGGGGTTGAACTCATGACCCTGAGATCAAGACCTGAGCTGAGATCGAGAGTTGGATGCTTAACTGACTGATCCACCGAGGTGCCCCTATGTCAGGATTATTTTAAGTATAAAGTATGTGGGGAAAGTGCTATAAAATTCGGTTGACATTCACAGGTAGTCAGAATTTACACATTAGTGTTTCTATACAGGTTTCAATAAATACAGCTTAAGTAGGATTGAGTCCATTACTAAACTTGTTTTTATGGGGAACTAAGCAATGATACAATGTCCACATATCTTTAAAAAAAATCTATAGACACATTTAATTGCAGACTGTCATCACTGCTAATCATATTTTTAAAAAGATTTTATTTGACAGAGATCACAAGTAGGCAGAGAGGCAGACAAAGGGGATGGGGAGGAAGCAGGCTGCCGCTGAGCAGAGAGCCTGATGCGGGGCTCGATCCCAGGACCCGGAGATCATGACCTGAGCCACCCAGGCGTCCACTGCTCATCACTAATAACCTACTTTTCTGCTAAAAAAGATATCACCTGTTCTCCCTCTTTGATCTCTCATAATGATTATTCATTTTAGCCATAGTCTGCACCTAGTGGAGTATTACCACCACAGGAGACCTCTTTAAGTAGTTCGTAAGTGAATTTAATTGACTATGTACTATGAAGTCAAACTGAGTCAACCCAATAGGTCCTTGGCAATATTCTGACTTAACTTTTTCCTGACACATGGGTTCTAACCTAGGTCTGCTAGCCTGTAAAGTGGAAAGAGTAACTCTGGTTATAGAAAGATGGAACCTGACCATGAGCAGTAGCATACTTATCAATGTCTCAAGATGCTGGATGATTTTCCTCTGCCCATTGCTGAGGCCTATTAGATCACACTAAATCCTTCCTTGTACACCGAAATTTCCAGTATGCAGTCATTCAAATTTTAGAGTTTCAACACAACTGAGAACGAACCAGAGATACTGGTGCTAAATAACAGTCAACACAAACACAAAAAGGTACTTAAGTGTTAGAAACGTTTATTTGTCAAAATATTAAAAAAAAAAAAAGTGGGAGGAGTGGAGTAAAACAAGGCTAAATTTCAGCTAATGCTGTACCACGATCACAGGTCAGACATAAAAAAACAAAACAAACAAACAAAACAACAACAACCCCCACCCCCAAAACCCCAATGGTCCTAGCAGTTTCAGAAGATTAGCTTCAATGTTAGAGTCCAGAGCTAACAGAGAAGAGTAAAAGGTCGCTTGCCACTACATGGTCATTTTTAAGGGAAAGGAGATGTTGCAGGTAGACAGGGAGAAGGGTTCAACTCCTAAGGAAAGCAAGATAAGAGGGGTTCCACTGTACAGGAAAAAGGGGATGCCAGCATAATCCTTACCTAGGGCCGCTCAGAGGCTGAGAATGTAAGGAACAGTGAAAGGCTACAGAAACTAGTATCAGGAGGAAAGAAAAGTCAACTTAGAAGAATTAAATTAAGAAAGAAAACATAGTTGGTCACAAACTCCTTTGTTTACTGAAACATGAAGCAATGGAAACATCCCGGCAAAGGGGACCGCGCGGAGCAAGTTCTCATATATGACCGCAGCCCGAGGGTTCAGTCCGCAATTATCCTACCTGAAAGAGAGCACAACACAAGAGGCTTACACAATGCCTGGAGAGCAGCTTGGCTCCGAGTACAAGGGCCCTGGTCCCGTCCTGTATTCCAGGGGGAAAAGAACAAAGAACAAAACAAAACCAAGTCAGACTGGATCAAACTTACATCCCGTGTCATTACCAAGGGATCTACTCACAGCTAGGTACAGAATGAGCAGCAGTCTCTCTGGAAGACTGCTGTGCTGCCGATAAAATCTATCTTTCTCATCTTTTAATCCATCTTTTAGGCAAGACCACCTCTGTGATCCAAGGCTACTGTCACTGCAACAAAGGGCATACATGATAGTATCAAAAACCATTAATTTAGTTGTGTCCCGAAAGAGCAGATGATGCCAAGATCTCGAATACTGCCAACTGCCCTACTCTAAGTCTGTTTCATGTCACGGTTTCATAGTAAACAAGTTTTCAGAAATGGCAATTACAAAGGGTGTCATTTATCCTGCAACATACCTACATGTCCTACTGTCCCAGAGTTAGAGCCGTAACTCCAGTAGTTCCCCTACATGGTCAAATCTCCCTTAACCAAATCAAAAGAAAAAATCCTGAAATTCTCTAATTCTTCCATTGATGATGGGAACTCCAGACACTGACGGCTGGGGGAAAAAAGAAGTTAACTCACACCAAGTTCCTCTACTTATTACAGACAAAGGGCCAAATCGTGGTCTTGATCTGTACCAACCGACTTCAAAAGTTGTGACGTTCTTGAATCAGTTCTGCTAGGGTGAGACCCAAATTCAGATCCCCAACAGTTCTGGAGTATTTCCTCCTGGCAGCCTCATTAACATCAGGCTCCTGGGACTGCAACCAACTCAGGGTTATTCAGTCCATTTGAGGTTCACACCTGGAAGGTAAGTTTCTTTAAAAGTCATCACTAAAAAGAGGTTAGTTAAACAACCACGGCTTGCAGTCAAAATTCACTTTAAAATACCTTAGCGATACCCTTAAAGACTGTAATACACTAATTTAACTATAAAACACATTCGAGGAAAACAAGTTATCTGGTAGGTGATACCACCTTTAGAGAAATATCCCACTTCGTGGCAGATCCAGCTGCATTAAAAGTAAAAACTAAGGCAATCTACACGTGCTTTAAGATTGTGTACTTTACACACATTAACACGCTGCTGCTACACAATGGTCTCAGGAGATCGCAGTCTTGTCATGGCCATCTAGGACATAATTTAACCACAGGTTCAAACCGTTGTTTGCTTCTCACTACATAAAATGGCAAATTCCTATTGCTTTAGTTTCTTCTACACATATATACCAGCGGGCTAAGTTAGGAACCCTGGAAACTCCATTTAACTTCTTGAGTAGGTTCTTAAGTAGGCCGCCTGGTCAAGTGATGCTCAATTTCAAGGTACAAGGAAAACCATGAGAAGAGAAAGTTGTCACGATGCCATTTCCACTCAGATGAAATTTATCCAGATAATCCTACTAATTATCCTTGCCATTCCAACATCTTTGGTGTACATTTTCTAAAGTAGGAAAAATTAAATTTCTGCGGTCACCACCAGTGGGATTTTATACACATTCAGAAATTACCTGTTTTATCTAGACCCTTACGTGTTCTTCCTGAACAAAAACCAAAACAAAAATTGCTGGGGAAAAAGAAAAATGTTGGGCTCTAAATGATAGTAACAGGGTATGACGAAATATGGTTTCAAGGGCTCAGGTCAGGCAGAGTAAGGTGCTCTGGATTACTAATAAGGAAAGGACTCCATGGGACAGGCACCAAAACACTTTGCTTTCAAGGGTCTTAGAACTCAACATCTAAAGCTTACAGGGCTTTATCTGGCCTATAGATCTAGGATATTAGAAGTTTCCTCTGATCAAAACTAATGACCTAAGTAGTAGCTATATTAGCAAGTGAGAAGTCTAAAGCTGTAGTTAAAAATTCTCACTGTGACGTTCATGACCAATTCCTGAACCTGTATTCTTCCACCTACATCACAATGACTTTTCTAGTGGGAAGAGAATGGTTTTGGAGCCCACCTCGCCTGAGTTTGAATTCTGACTGCCTCTCAATTATCCACGACTTCAGGCAAAGTACTTAACCTCTCTGAGCCTTTGTTTCCTTCTCTGTAAAAGAGAAAATATCTCAAAGGCTTTTTGTGTAGATTAAATGCTATATCAGACAACGAGGGCACTCGATAAATGTTCTCTTAACTATGTTTCTGTAATGCAGATGGCTTACATTTGATTAAATAATACCCTCCTAACCGAGTTTGTTGTTGTTCTCTCCGAAGGAGCCGCTGGTTGGAGTCATACACTAAAAAACCTCAAGAGGCCAAATGAACCTCTGGCTTAAGCTAGAGAAATATTTAAGACTAAAATGTAAATTTGTCTCGTGGCTACTGTCCTGCCAGCAAACAAACACGTGGCTTTAGCCTCCTCTATGCAGCACAGATCTCTTTCAAGGAAACTCGAGTCTCTTAACCACACCGACCCCACTCTCACCTCCAGTTTTTAAAAGGCTGAGTACCGCGCCCGGTCCACATACTGCTCCCGCTCATACCGGGCCATGTCGTACAGAGAATTCCGTGCAGCGGCTGAAGCCTGAGACAGCTCACTCTCCGGCCCGTAACCGTAGCCCTCTCCAACTGCGGGGAGCACGGCGGCAGCACGACGCAGGGGGCTCCTGTCCCTTCCGTAAAAGGAGGAAGTGTTGGCAGCGGCGGCAGCCATAGCAGCCGAGGTGGCGGCAGCACCTGAGTTCGGCAACAGGTGTCTGTCGTAGGGATCAACAGAAGTGGAGTTGAGGTGACTGGTCACAGCCGTGTTCTGGACTTGAGGCAGATGGGACATGGTCTGCTCCGCGTAGTTGTACGCAGAAGCCGCTGCCGCCGCTGCCACCGCCTCGTAAGAGCGGACCCGGTAGCGCTTGTAGTAGTCGAGGGCTCCGTACGCATCGTTGTAATACATGGATTCCCCGTAGCCCATGGTGTAAGGCGTGCGCACCGCTCCGTACTGTTCATTATACTGCTCGGTAAAGTCCGCCACGCGACCCGTGCGATCTACCGGACACTCTTTGGACCAGTGCCCCTCTTTCCCGCACCGATAGCAGCCGCTCTGGTCTCCCATCCCGGGCGCAGTCCGAAGCCGGCTGGTGGACAACTGCACGTGCATTCGTTTGCCTTGAGGAAACAGACGTAAGAAGATTTATTATAATTCACTGACGTTCTTTAATCCTCCCCCACATGAAAGTAAGCTAGCTGGTGTGAGACACGCAGACATACACACGCTCCGGCAACCCGATGTCAGCGGTCCGCTCCAAAAGCAGTTGACGTTGTGATACAGATGACAGCTAGAAACTCTGAGTCCTCAGAGACCAGGCAACACTACTTCCATCAGGTAGCCGGATTCCCTTCTGTGTCCACGACCTTCCCTCCCTTTCCTCTGGCCCCCAACACAGAAACTGAAAACTTTTCCACTTACCACTGCTAAGACTGATTACAACGGTCATGATTCAAGACCTGCCAATTCCTCCAAATCAGTCAACAAAACCTCAGTTATGCCACGTTTGAAAAGCATCTTACCAGCCTCTCACTGATTTACTCAGGGCAACGTAAGGCCCCAGCGTTTACTGTAGCTTAAAAACCACGGTAACCTGTCCATCTTGTTTCCTCCAGCCGTTTTGACAGGTGTCACCAGAAGGCTATGCTGGATACACGCACCATACACTGCTTCACCTCAGTCCCTCTAGGAGTTATGCAACCCTCCGGGTTTCAACCCCTGTGTTTTTCAGCAAGGGCGATCCGTGCCTATGTGGAAAAGAGAACTTGACCAAGGTCTCTCAACAGCAAGAATTAGGAAGATACTGAAGCAGTACTGGGTTTTTTAGGGACAATGTGTACCCACGTAATTCAGCATCTCATCCTGCCATGTAACTTACAATCCTTCACAGGGGACTATCTCATTAGAAAAATGCAGCATTTGCCCTAAGAGCCTCTGGGCACCCATACAAACAAGCAACATCCATTCTTCCAGGAAAAGGCCAGCACCATGACCAGCTAAGAGAAGAAACAATCTCTGCTCTGGGCTTGTGCCCAGGGACCCTTAACTGATGAAAGCATCCACGGTCTTCAAAAACTGCCTAAGACTTTGGAGATCAAGTCAGTAGTTCTCAAACTGTATGTAGCCACTACAGATGCAGAGAACAGGGACTTCAGGTCACTCTTGAGGGCTGCTCAGAACAAACCCCCCTCCGCGATCAGCAAGTTGCTCTCTCTTTAACAGACCTTGTTCTGGATGCAGCTATGTGATAGGAGGCCTCGTGCTCCACCATCCTGTTGGAAACTCCTGATTCAGGACGGCAGCCAGAACAGCGCCATGCACTGACCCTGAGAGGGGAGCGGGTTCGTGCAGTAGTATCACTTCAAACGCAGTTCTGCCCAATGTCTAAGATTCCTACCACCCCGGTTTCTGGTAGCTGCCACCTCCAACTTAAAACCCCTTCTTTAGCAGAAACGAAAGTGCTTAGGTTTTTACTTCTAGCTGCCAGCAGAGAGGCGGTGTCCATCATCACCACTGATAGTCAACCGATAACAAATCTCGGAATGTAGCATTTAGGCACCTATTGTTTTCAGAGATTTAAATATTCCCATCCTCATTCTTAAAAATTACTGGGCCGCCTGGGTGGCTCAGTCATTAAGCGCCTGCCTTTGGCTCAGGTCATGATCCCAGGGTCCTGGGATTGAGCCCCACATTGGGCTCCCTGTTCAGCGGGAGGCCTGCTTTTCCCTCTCCCATTCCCCCTGCTTGTGTTCCCTCTCATGCTGTCTTTTTGTCAAACCAATCAATCTTTAAAAAAAAAAAAGGTTATTAAGGGCCACATGCTAACTATGCTTAGAACAGAAACACAGATTTTTTGCCCCAATTTCTACCTCAAATGTAGAGTTTCCTATGGTTTAGACCGGAAGACCAATAGTTACTTGGTTTTCACACATGCATGGTGACTTTAACCTCTGTGACAGACATAAACTGTTCCCATTCTGAAGTCGCAGGAACTCTACCAATCTAAAAAAGCAGCCGATTCAGAGACCTAGAAGTACATTTAAAATTTTTTTTCAATTTAATTTGCTTTATACTTTTATAGATTCTGGCCCAGTTTTTGTTCTTGTTGTTGTTGTTGAGAAACAAAACCCAGTGATTTTTCTTTGGTATTTGTTACTACATCCAATCTTCATTTCAGTTTTACTGAGAGAATGCCTAAGTTTATAAACATCTATGTTTATAATTTACCTCTGTAGCAGCTGTGAAAAGGATTCAGGTAAAAGAAATTTTTAACTAGAACAAAAAAATCTGTAATAGAAGTGATAGTCCGCCCTCCCCCCACCCCCGGCCAATCTCTCCTAGGTTGTAACTAGGTTTTTAATTTAAATCCGCTTAAGTTATTATAACTGAAAAATACTGTGCTTCTCTTACTCTATTACCTTAAGGAACCAGGGCAAAGAAAATTGAAAGATTAAATTCCACCACTCTGCTACACTTGGAGAGGACAAAACTTTAAAGATTTTCTGAGACCTCAAAAGTTACTGAAATATGTTGCCAACATTTCCCAGAAAACCAGCCTAACAGAAGTGTTTTCTTTTGAAAGCTGGAACAAAAAAGGTAATTAAAATGCTGAGAGATGGGCAACCTGGGGTCCTCTAAGTGCTGGGCTCTTAGCATGGGCCAGGACCCTGCAAAGGCTGGGGGCGTAGCTGCTCCCTAACACTGCTCCAGTTTCGTGCTTGTTTGTATATGATGAAACCAAGACACCCGGCCTCTTACACATCATTCCCAATTCAGTTGCTTGAACTGTTACTTGGGAACAACTTTTTCAGTTAGAGTCTTCCAGTGCAAACTGTTTGCCCACTCAACAGTGGTTCAGTTCACTGCTGCTTGTGGACAGGAAACAGGTCTTGAAAGACCCAGGTTAACTCAGGTTCCCCTGCTTCCTTTGATAAGGATTCCTTCCTCTGATAAGATAAATGCAGAAGCCTAAATGGCAACAATTAATAAAAGTTGGGGCGCCTGGGTGGCTCAGTGGCTTAAGCCTCCGCCTTCAGCTCAGGTCATGATCTCAAGGTCCTGGGATTGAGCCCTCATCGGGCTCTCTGCTCAGCATGGAGCCTGCTTCCCCCTCTCCCTCTGCCTGCCTCTCTGCCTACTTGTGATCTCTGTCAAATAAATAAATAAAATATTTAAAAAAGAAAATAAAGGTTCAGAAGATGTTCAAAGTGGCACTCCTAAGAGGCCGCGTTCATTGGCAGCTGACTAAAAAAGCTTTAGAGACAAAGGTGACAAGCTGGTATCTTGATTATATTTTCTGTAAAACAGCAACGTATTATCCCACGCTAAACTTTCTCTGGTCAGCTGGAAAAAAGAGAGCTGGTTATAAAAATATCTATATGTGTAACTCCAAGTAGAGTGCTTTCTCCAGAGTGGATGGGCTAAGAACATGAAGACCAAATCAAGGATTCTTCTTTTCCAATGATGACATTTTAAAGAATTTCATGGATTGCTGTTATTCCAACATCCACTTCCCAGAGTAATTAAACTTGCTTTATTAAAACACACTCTTCCCAAGCCAACTCCCCCCAGTCAACTAACTTCTGTACGTGTACTTTTGCCCTTATCCTTTTATTCAGTTGTTGTTAAAAAGGTAATGACATGCAGTACTACATTACTGTGACATCTTTGCAGAGTCTGGACCCGAATTTCATTGCATTCTTCCCACATTTTGTTACCTGTCAAGAGAGAACCTCTATTTCCCCCCAACACTGTCCATTCATTATCCCATCTCCATCAAGTGAGAAATAATTAAGAATATTCTTAAATCTGTCTGAAGTGCAACAGCTTTCCAAAATAATAATTTAAAAAAATATATAAATAAGAGAGATAAGTGAGGAAAGCTAACCATCACATTTTTAAGTAAGCTTCCAACTGTAATGCAAACACTTCAGTTGTTGCAACCACCACTCGCCTTTCATCACAGAGTGCTTACCGTCCATCTACTTTAACATGTATTACCTCATTCTAGCCTCTCTACCATCCCGTGAGGGAGGTACTGCAGGGATCATTAATTCCACTTTGTAAGTGGGGAAAATGAAGCAGAGAGAGATTAAAACACTGGCCCGAAGTCACACACCTCGTTAATGGTAGCAAGTCATCTGTGACTTTCGCCCTATGCTTTAGAGAAGAGCTAAAGGCCAGGACACCACTGGCTGAACCCAAAGAGATCTGACGCGCTCTTTGTAATCTACACTATTTGCAAACTTTCTTACCCTTTTCTAGTCAACTTTTCCTCTTCTGGAATTTCTTTTTTGACTGTTTTCTAGGTTTAGCAGAGGACACTTAAGTACTTCTCAACGAACCTTTTAGTGGCACTCGGAAAAAAATGCTATTAACTTATGAACCGGAGAAGCGGCTGGAAATGCGTGGCTCAAGATGAAACTGTCAACAAAGAACTGTAGAACCGCGCCGTCCAACAGAACTATCTATAATGATGGAAATGTCCTCCCTTTACACTAATACGGTCACCAATAGACTCATGTGACCTCTGGGTGCTTCAAACGTGCGTCCAACTGAAAAACTGAAATTTAAAATGTATTTAATAGCCACATGTGCCTAGGGGCTACCATATCAGACGGCTCAGTTGCAGTCTTCCGACAACCTCGAAGTATTAAATTATAACCTATGGAGCTTTATAATTGGTAAAATTATATAATAGGCTCCGTAACACCCTTATTGGAAACTTTCAGAAGCAGGACCATCATCTCATTCAACCTAGTATTTTTAAAAATTTTCTTTTTTTTCCATTAGGGTTAAATAGTAGATAGAAGAGAACAGTCCAGTGCATGGCTTTGGGCTGACAGACTGAACAAATCTGAGCCCTCAAAAGATACTTCTCCAGATCCAGGTTCACCATCCAGATTTATAATATAGGAATCCCTCTAGATGTCTCTGTTCCTCTTTCCCACAACAACCTATCACCCCAGGCTGTAAAGAGTATAAATCCTAAGCACGTAAACTCTCAATATAAGGCTTTTTGATGATAAAAGCAGATAATCCACAGACTTTTATCCTCTCTTCTCCCATGAGGTAGGGACTCATTTGCCTAGGCAGGTTAAACTTCCAACAGCACTCAAATGAATGAAGACTGCGGGATGAAGTAACCCAGTTTGTGCCTCTACACCGTTGTTGAGGAACATCTTGGCAAGTAAATCTACAAAGGGGGTGTTTGCTTCTCCAAGAGTAAACTGTACTTAACAGTGGTAAACACGTAATCTTTCCATTACATCCAGCTAAAACAGAATGGAAGACACCTCCCTGCCAGCCTTCTGGTCCTGTGCTCTTGTCTGTCTTGTCCTAGACCCCACTACTCAGTTCTGCCACCCAGACCCCAGAGTAGTTCACCTTGAAACTCTGTGTTGTCAAGGCCCCTGATGGCCTCCACTGCATCCTCCGCCCGCTCCATGTGTACGAAGGCATAATCTTTCACGATGTCACATTCAATGACTGGACCATACTCCTCAAACTTGGCCCGAAGCTCCTGGTTGGTACAGGTGGGACTGATGTTGCCCACATGCAACTTGGTTGAGGCTTTGCTCTTATTCTTGCTGGCTTCCACGTTGATGTTCACCCCGTGCAGCTTGTAGTGGTGCAGGTTGCGGATGGCATCCTCGGCCGCCGTCTTGTCCTCTATGTGCACAAAGCCGTAGTTCTTAATGATGTCACATTCCAGCACCTTCCCATACTGCTCGAAGAGCGAGCGGATCTCCTGCTCTGTGGCCTCCCGGGGCAGGTTTCCTATGAACAGCTTCACCATCCTGACAAGAGCCTGGGAGGGAACAAATAAGATGTCCAAAAGTTAGGGGTGGAGTGGGAAATTTCAGGGCATTGCATTTTGGTTTAATTCTCCAAAAAAGTTCTTGGCACATTCAAGATTCAAGACCCCCCACATAAATGTTCATTATTTTTCTCTTCATTGAGAGGAAAGGTCTGTACATTAAGAGGTAGTGTGAGACGTGTGTGACACCCCAACGGGAGGCTGGGATCTGCAGGCATCGCACCGTCTATCACATCCGTGAAATGAGCATTTAAATAACAAGGTTGGCTGTTTTAGGTCTTAAAATACTCTCTTTGGGGGGCAGGAAAGAGAAGAGCTCAAGGAGAGGGCAAGAGGCGTCTATCTCGAGTGTCCCCGGTAACGAGGTTTTGGAGGGAAATCGGTGTCCCTCTCCTCCGTGCGGTATTACCTTCTACGACACTTGAAGAATAAAGAGGCTTCCTTGGCCCCAATCCGGGACCCCCCCAGCGACCCAACCTCCAGCTTTTTCGCCCCAACAAAGACTCGACCCGACCCCTGCCCCGCCCCCTCCGGAGATCCGGCCCCGCCTCCTCCCGTTGTCTTCCCGGGACCTCCCGCAGCAAGAGAATCCCACACCTTGGGCAGGCCCCGTCCGCCAGAGGCCCAGCCCGACCCGCCCTCCGGCTCCCCACACACCCAGAAGACCCCCTCGCACCTCCGGGTGGCGGCGGCGGTGGCGGCGGCTCCCGCGTCAGAAAGAACCCTACAAAATGGCGACGGCCGCTCGAGCCTCGGCGCGACCGGGCCCTTTCTCGCGCGCCAGCTCACGCACGCGCGAGTGCGCGCTGCCTCCGTCTCCTCCCCCTCGCGGGAGCCGGGCGACCAATCCCGCGGCCGCATACAAATGGCTGCTCCAGGCTAGGCTCCCAGCCGCCCAGACCCGGGGGCGGGGCCAGCTGGTGACGCCGCTGCGGAGCGGAGGTCAGCCCGCCCCCAGCCCCGGTTAGCCAATCAGCACTCTGGAAGCCGGGTAGGGGTGGAGGTCGGCGCTCAAGCGTCAGAAGGGCTCCGGACGCAACCACTACCTTGGCGTAATCAGAAGCCCGGGGAGTCACTAACCATCACAATGGATCGTGCTATTGGGCCAGTTGGGGCGGGGGGGTAGCTAATGACAAAGGGTTATCTCACTGGGTCCTCTAAATGGGGGTTTTCTGAGCAGGCTGGCCAGTCACTTCGGTAGCTTGGGTCAACATTTTAGAGACAGAAGAGCCACATTTTAAGCAAACGTAGTCCATGTTTGTAGAGCTGTAAATGTAACTCAGCGTTTCATGGCAAGCCTCTTCCTGGTGAGGAAGCAGAACCAAAGATGGCAGAGCTGGGAGAGCTCTAAGAGGCATTGTATCCAGGCTGCATTTATCGGTCACATGTTAGCTCACGGATGTGTGTGGGCTGTTTTTCTCTCTCTAGTTACACTATTAGCTCTAATTGTGTGGCCTTCACAGTTCCTGGTCCGTGGTGACTACACCAAGGGAGCACTTGGTGCAGAGGCCCAGAGAAGTTCTTTGTTTGGGGCGGGGCGGAGAGACGGGTGAAAAAGGGTCTCCAGGTCCGCACCAAGCTGCTGGAGGTCTAGGATGCTGGGACTCCGGGCGCTTTCTAGCATTCAAAATTCTGCTGTGGTCCAAGGGCGCCTCCTGGTGGCAATAGAGAAGCTAGTAGGTGGATTAGTCACTGTCCCCCTTGAACAAAGAATAGACGTTTATAGAGATTGATGGATCCAGTTTATCTCTCTGAGTGGAGCATGCTGGGGTGGTTGTCAGTCACCATTCTTCATTGTGGTGGCTCCATAGAAGCTTTTCTGATACCATCAGGCACAAATTCCCCAGGCTTCCCTCCTCCTCCCCAGCTACTCTGATGTGTTTCTTTCACTGAATTCTTTTTGTTTCCCAGCCATTTTAGATGAGGCACCGTCCTTCCAATTTTAATACGACTTACGATTTCTCCCACCTAATTCGATCTACTTTTCCCTTTTCTCCTCCTCTTGTTCATTTCCAGTTTCTCTCTACACTCAGACTTCTAAAACATGTATAGGGACCTCCTTACCCATTTCTGAAATACCTCCCTGTTCACCTTCACTATTAATGTTTTCTATCTTGGGGTCCTTCCTTGTGTTCCAGGTCAGAGGCTTTGCAAATGGGGAGTCTGAACCAACTATTGCCCACCTTTGTACACGGTTTTGGTTTCTGTCCACCTCTTCCAATGCCCCAAATTTTCTGAGGTCACCAAAGTTAATGTCCTTTTAAGTTTTCACCCTTCTAAAGTTTTCATTTCATTTAGCATTTTCTTCTCCCGTGTTTTTATACTGCTCCTCAGAGCTCTGATTGTACAGTTGTCTCCCTCCCTCCCCCCTTCTATTTCTCTGCTCTTATTTATTCCCTTTTATCTCATGTCCCCTTCCCTCATAGACAATCACGCTAATGAGTTTAATATGTATTATTTTGTTTGTATTCTTGCCTGACATATCCTTTCAGTGCGCATTTGCTTTATCCATTTAAAAAAATGTTTTATTGTGGGGGCTCCTGGGTGGCTCAGTGTTAAGCATCTGCCTTTGGCTCAGGTCATGATCCCAGGGTCCTGAGAGAGCCCTGCATTGGGATCCCTGGATATCAGGGAGCCTGCTTCACCCTCTCGCACTACCCCCCTGCTTGTGTTCCCTCTCTTGATATATCTCTGTCAAATAAATAAAATCTAAAAGAAAAAAATAAGACATTAGGACTACACTGATATTATCTAATCTTTATAATAAAATATCTCCTAGGTTGTGGCAAATGCCTTTTTGCAATTGTCTTCTAACGGGGATCATAACAAGGTCCATCGGTTGTGCATTCGGGTAAATTATGTATTTATGTAAATTGTGTTGTAGGGCTCATTGTTTTAGTTTTTGCACTAAATACCCGTGTTGCTGCACGTTATGTAACCTGTGGAACTAACTCGTAAGTAAGTAAGTAAGTAGTGCCAGGTTGTTCTCTGGAAGAACTGTACCCGTCACCCCTCACACCTGCAGCACATGAGGGGGCCTGTGTATCAATAACTCCGCCAGTGTTGGACATTGTTCAGTTTTCTAATTTCTGCTAGTATAATAAAGTGATATAGCACTTGTTTTAATTTGCATGATTACTAATGATCTTAAGGATTTCCTCTTATTAGTTTTTTTGGGTTTTCTCTTCTGTAAATTTCCTGTTCATATCTTTTGCTCAACTTTCTTAGTGGTTGCAATTTCCTCTTTGTTGTTATTTGCAGGATTTTCTTGTATATTCTAGACAGTGATCTCTTTAAATATTTTCCATCATTCCACTAACTTATTAACTTTGTCCATGGTGCCCTTCATTGAACAGAAATTCTTAATTTTTTATGGTATCTAATTAATTTGTCTTAAAGTGTGTGCTTTTGCAGTTTTGTATAAGCTGTTCTTTTCTACCCCCCTAGTCACAAATGTATTCTCCTACATTTTCCTCTATTAACAGTAATTTTTTTTTTTTAACTATCCACATTTAGATCTGTAGTCGATTCAAAGTGGTGCCATCCTGGGGTGCCTGGCTGACTCAGTAGGTGGAACTTGTGGCTCAGGATTGTGAGTTCGAGCCCTACGTTGGGTGTAGAGATGATTTCAAAAATAAAATGTTAAAAAGAAAAACAAAAGCAGGGCTGTCCAGACAAATATAAGGTCAGCCATTTATGTAATTTAAAATTTTCCAGTAAAGACATTTAAAAAGTAAAAAGAAACAGCTGAAGTTCATTTTAATACTTTGGAAACCCAATAAAGCTAAAATATTGCAACATATAATCAATATAAACAGTATTAATGAAATACTTTAAGTTCTTTTCCTCTTCAGTTTTTGAAGTTGGCGAGCATTTTACACGTACAGCACATTCTGCTTTGGATTTGCCCCATTTCAAGGGCTCAGCAGCCACATGTGGCCCATGGCTACTATCTCGGACAGTGCAGCTCTAGAGTTCGCCCTCAGAGGCCATGTTTGGTGAGAAGGCAAATTTGTTTTTCTCCAAATAATCCATGTTTAGCTGTCCACATTTCGGACTTGTGGTGCCTGCACAGACTGTATTTTTGTGTTCTAATCTATCTCGTAGCCCATTTCATTCCATCTCTTTCTGGAACTTTCTTTTTCTTCCACTCATATCTGAAGGTGTCTCTCAAGACTTACTTCCTGACCTTATGTTTATCCTTATCTGTGTCCGGTCACCTGGATGATGCTCAAAGCACCTTTTCATGACGTCTCCGTTCGCAGGGGCTGACTCCATCCTCCCAGACGGCTGTACTTGGCTGCCCTATTTCCATTCACATTTTACACACTAAAATGAGCCTTTCTTCATTTATTTCTCACTCCCATATACATTTCCTTCTAAAATGTCTCATTATTGCATCTCCTCCCAACTACCAGGCTTGCCACATTGCAGTGGAAATCCCGTTTCCCTGGGCACTCTACAACGTTATGTCTCTTTCTTCCTTTGCACAGTTGGACCAGAAGGACAAGAGAAGCTGATGGGTCATCCCGTGTAGTCCCATGACGTATTGTTCCAGTTACATCTATCCAACATGCTGACTGTGGAGTACTTCTGAATTTGCTTGTCTTAAGAGGAAGGGAGAATTATTCTGTGGGCTGTCTGGTCTACCAGATCTCATGTTTGGAGACCATGCTGGTTTGGGCTGTGTTGTGTGAGTCCTGGGCCTGCACACACCTGACCCTTTGTCATGGCTGATGATGATCAGGGGTCTACTCGGCCAAGGCCCTTGGCCACTTGTGCTAAAGATAGGTCTGCTTAGGGGAGAAGGTGCAGGGATGCGTGAAATAGGTGATGGGGGTTAAGGGGTGCATCTGTCGTGAGTAGCATCAGGTGATGCATGGAAAGGTTGAATCACTATGTCGTACGCCCAAAATTAATATAATGCTGTATGTTAACTGTACTGGAATTTAAAATTAAAAAATATATATATAGGTAGGGCTGCTTCTCTGGAGAGATCTCCTCTGAGCCCCCAAAAGAAATGGTTATTTGTATGTTTCTGGGAAACAATGAAAGAACAAAGCTTTTCCTGTAGGAGACCACCAAAGCAATAATACTCTTACCCTCCAATTGCCAAGCCAGAGACAAGGGAGAAAACTAATTTTTTTTAATACTTCACCAGATCTAGAATATATTCTGTGTTTTTGTGTGTTTACACACTTTGGATGTACCTGGTGGCTTCCCAGAGTGATGTCATCCTATGGGTCAGTGCATTGGGAACTTGCCACTTCTCTGATCCCTGTCTAACACCCCCGTGATCCTCTCTATTGGGGAGGAGACAGAAGATGGGGTCAGTCCTCACCCCCACGCGCTCCACTTTCCACTGTCGGGCTGAGCGGTGGCTGACACTTGCTTGGACAATTCAGTCTTCCATTTTTGAAAACAGTTGAGAGAGTCATGAGTAAAGAAAGTTGTGTACCAGGGAAGGAGTTGTTCGCTGCCTTTTAACATTGATAGTGCTTGTTACCATCACCCTGACCCACGGTGAACTTCTTTGGTCTAAAAAGAGGCTTGTCGTTGGTCAGCCCAGCAGACTGGAGGTCCTCATCATGGGGAGAGGAGACCAGGGTAGGGAGGCTCTCAAAATAATGTGGCTTGTTGAGGGCTGGGAGGCTGGTGGCGGAGTGGAAACCTGACATACAGGAGACCAGAGCCAAAGGCAAGAATGTGGGCACAGGCAGGGAGGCTTGTGGTCGGGAAAGCAAAGACACCCGGAAGCAGTGAGAGAAGCTGAGCTGTTTAA